TTTTATTTGACCAGGAGACTAAAGAGGGCTTGATCCAGCCTCACTCAACCAATACCTACCCCCCCTCCTTAAACCTAAGTAACTACAAGACAACAAAAATGGAGTTACTGGCCCAAGATGGCCTTTTATTATAAAACCATTAATAAATAACATTTAAATAACAAAAACACAGTGTACATTTTCCAAGGTCCCAATGGGCATCAAGAAAATGAATACCTGCATCCTGCTTAACTAGGCCTCCAGCCGCAACTCGGAGACACCACCGCAGATACCCCCACCAGAACACGGTACGTAGCTTGTAGTTCCCAATGAACTGTGGAGGCGTTGATGAGCTCTCTCGTAATTCATCGACACTTCCTCCAGCTTTGTAACTGTCTGCCTGTATGGAGGTATCAACAGGCAAGCAGAAGCCAGTGTCTACACCCGCAAACTACTGATCACGGGGTGAAATGCTCTGCAGGATCATCAGAAGAAATAATAAATTAACATTTTTTTACTGGAAAAATATGTACATTTATTATTTTTTCTTAAAGCTAAATATATCTAGTTAGAAAACTATAGTGTGTATTCTTAACTCATGAAAGTACCTACTTTTGACCTCAGCCGCCTCCAAATCTCCAAATTATTTTTTTTTCAGCTGCTGTGATCTGACTTCCTGTTAAATGGCGGCTACATTAGTTCTCCATGGTCCTATTGTATGTGGTAACATAGCCACCAACCCTTGCTCATTGCTGTGCTAGGGAATCTGTAATTTGTAGTGTGCATAGAGAAGTGCACATATGCTCTGCTAGGAGCCAGCTGTCAGAATACAATAGCTGGTAGGAAAGGTTCATCCATCTGGACTCTTTAGCACATATGGAAGAATATTTTTAGATTTCTTTCCTTCAGGCTGCACAAAAGAAATGCGTATGGCCAGCTTACCTGTATATCCTAATAACATTCCACTTTATCCCTATGATCTTCCAGTGATCTCCTTATTGCCTCCTGAGGCTTCAAGTGTGCTCTTCTTCATCGCTGCTTTTAACTCATACCAAGGTCTCTGCCAAGAGATGCTGAATCAGCAGTCTGAGGTCATTGCTATACACTAAGCAAGGAGAAATAAAATGCAAGCATGACTGGGACAATATTGTGATAATCAGTCAGTGCTGCTCTTCACTGCTTGATTCTTCGGATTTATTTACAGGGGTCTCCTGAGCCTTCTTTGCCAGAATCACTTCAATGTGAGAAGAAAAGGAGGAATGGGAACACTTGGAGGATCATTGTGACTAGTACTGCACAAGATTTTCAAGAATCTTTTTTAACCCCTTTACAATGGCATAACACATATATGCAGCATATACAGTTGCAAGAAAAAGTATGTGAACCCCTTGGGATTACGTGCAGTTTTGCATGAATTGGGCATAAAATGTGCTCTGAACGTCATCTAAGTCACAACAATAGAAGAACACAATCTGCTGAACATAATACTACACAAACATTAGATGTTGCCATGGTTTAATTGCACATAACATGTAAATATTCACAGTGCAGGGAGGAAAAAGTATGTGAGGCCCTAGCTTAATGACTTCTCCCAGAGCTAACTGGAGCCAGGAGTGAGCCAACCTTGACTCCAATCAGTGTGATGATATTGGATGTGTTGCTGACAGCTGTCTTGCCCTTAAAAAACACACACCTGTTTTGGGTTTACTGGTTTCAAGAAGCACTGTCTGATGTGAACCATGCCTCGCAGAAAAGAGCTCTCAGAAGACCTACGATCAAGAATTGTTGACTTGCATGAAGCTGGAAAGGGTTACAAAAGTATCTCCAAAAGCCTTGATGTTCATGTGTCCACGGTAAGACAGATTGTCTACAAATGGAGAAAGTTTAGCACTGTTGCTACTCTCCCTAGGTGTGGTCGTCCTGTAAAAATGACTGCAAGAGCACAGAGCAGAATGCTACATGAGGTAAAGAAGAATCCCAGAGTGTCAGCTAAAGACCTACAGAAATCTCTGGCACATGCTAACATTTTTGTTGACACATCTACAATAAGGAAAACATTAAACAATAATGGAATACATGGGAGGACACCACGGAGGAAGCCATTGCTGTCCAAAAAGAATATTGCAGCACGTTTGGAGTTTGCAAAAGAGCACCTGGATGTTCCACAGCACTACTGGCAAAATATACTGTGGACAGATGAAACCAAGATTGAGTTGTTTGGGAAGAACACACAACACTATGTGTGGAGAAAAAAAGGCACAGCACACCAACATCAAAACCTCATCCCCACTGTAAAACATGGCGGAGGGAGCATCATGGTTTGGGGCTGCTTTGCTGCCTCAGTTCCTGGACGGATTGTTGTCATTGATGGGAAAATGAATTCCAGAGTTTATCAAGACATTTTGCAGGAAAACGTACGACCATCTGTCTGCCAACTGAAGCTCCGCAGAGGGTGGGTGATGCAACAGGACAATGACCCAAAGCATACAAGTAATTCAACAAAATAATGGCTGCAACAGCACAGAATACGCCTTCTGGAGTGGCCCAGTCAGAGTCCTGACCTCAACCCGATTGAAATGCTGTGGCATGACCTTAAGAGAGCGATTCACACCAGACATCCCAAGAATATTGCTACACTGAAACAGTTTTGTGAAGAGGAGTGGTCCAAAATTACTCAGATCATTGTGCAGGTCTGATCTGCAACTACAGGAAACGTTTGGTTGAGGTTATTGCTGCCAAAGGAGGGTCAATCAGTTATTAAGTCCAAAGGTTCACATACTTTTTCCTCCCTGCACTGTGAATGTTTACATGTTATGTGCAATTAAACCATGGCAACATCTAATGTTTTGTGTAGTATTATGTTCAGCAGACTGTGTTCTTCTATTGTTGTGACATAGATGACGTTCAGAGCACATTTTATGCCCAATTCATGCAAAACTCCAATTAATCCCAAGGGGTTCACATACTTTTTCTTGCAACTGTATATGTCACTATGTTATTCTGGGGTGCCCATTATCAGCGCCCCTAGAACTGTGACCATGCTGCCACTGACTGCTCACAGTCAACTACCGATGATAAAAATGGTGGTAAGGCCAGCTCCTAAATATGTCATCAGAGTGAATGAATGAACAGGAGGCCCTCCTATTGGCCTCCAGTGTTAAATCCCACCAGAAGGGCCAGTTCCCACTGGCAGAAAGGGCCAACATCTATCACAAAGGAGTCTTACTTGTATTCTCTACCGTGGAAGATTTTCCAATCTTTTCCAAAGGAAATGCAAAGCACAACAACCCATAGAGTTTTTACAAAGGAAGCAAAATAATGTATAGCAGCCAATTAGAACTTAAGACTGAACTCCCGGAATTATTCATCTTGCATACTTGCCTGTGTCCACCTTGGTACAATGTAAGTATGCATAGCTCATACCTGATGGACTGCTGGGGAATCTGGAAATCACTGTAGAAAGTGGTGCTACTACAGTGATAGCCGCAGTCTTCCAGGCCCTGGTCAGGTTCTACGGGAGTGACTACCCTTCACACTGCATACTGACCACAAGAGGCTAATTACTCACCACTTCCACCATTCATGGTATGCCTTCTATTTTTTTCAGTAAGACCTTTCCTGATTGGCCACAGTGAAGAGGAGGGGTGGTGATGTCACAATAGCCACCTTGTCAAACCACAGAATGCCATTTATTCATTGAAAAAAATGATGACTTGGAATAGCAACTGTACTGAGCGAGTGACCCTCTGTGGTCAGAGTGCAGTGGAGTAGTCGCTCAAATAGAGCAGTACACATACGATCATGGCTATCACTGTAGTAGTGAAAATTCCCCACTTCCCCAGTGACTCGTCAGGTACGAGATATGCAAACTTACATTGTGCCAAGTTAGACCAATGTAGGTATGTAATACAGATATTTTCTGGAGTTCAGCTTTAAAGAGGTTGTAAACCTCTGAAATGAAAAATGAGCAAAGCATATTCTTTTGTAATGTGTACTTGCCTCAATCCAAAGAACTTTGTGATTTTTGCCTGCTGTCTCTTTTCTTTTTTATCTGAATGAGTCACTTCTGACATGTAATTCTCACACCACACAATCCCAGGGGAAAGGAGAGAGAGGCTTCAGTACACAGCCTGTAAATGACAACCTCAGCTGTGCATGTCTCTCTATGTGCTGTATAGAAGTGGAGTGTCCCTTCCCCCCACTCAGGTTTCAAATTACACTCAGTTCTCCTCTCTGTGCTCTTCATATATCAGATCCCCACCCCCTGCCTTCTAATGATCAGAAACGCTTTGTGCACTTTATACTTTGAATGGCTGTAAAGGAGAGATGGCTGCAGATAAACAAGTACAACTTATGTAGAAGGATTTGTTTTATCTCTGTGTATCATCTGAGGATAGTCACTTCACTGGGTATATGTAAGAGAGTATGACCACATTAAAGGAAACCCCATTCTCAAAAAGTACTGAGGCATGAGACATCCAGGTTGCTGTTATTTTCAAAGAGAGATCATCAATGACATCCTCCACATTTGTCTCAGTTTTCTCCTTAAGTGCCCAGTCATAATGGTGCAATTTCAGGTGCGATTTTGGAACTGAAATCGCATCTAATGAATGTGAATGTCAGTGTCTTAACATTTGCTGCAGCGTGATTTCTAAAGTAGTTCTTGCATTACTTTTTCTGCACTTTTGTTGCAATTTCACATACATAGAATGCAATGGAAATAGCACTGCAAATTGCAAGAAATTGTTGAAAAACTTCTGGACCTGGGGCGCACATGAGGTTGGACACAGCCGATCAGCAGGTCTCAGCCATAAATCATTGGCTGAGACCTGCTGTCCAATCACAGCACAGACACCTGTGTTTACAAACAACACAGAGCTCTGTACACAAGTAGGGAGAAGAAACAGTCAAATCTCTTAGTAAAAGCAGCACATATCACACACATTACACTTGTGAAGCACATGGTTACCTTTTGATTGCCCCTTGATGTTAACCCATTCCCAGGGGCAGACTGACAACTCATGGGGCCCCCGGGCAATAGGGGATCATGGGGCCCCTGTGTCCTTGCCAAAGCTCAAAAAAGCCTATGAAAAAGGTACCAGGGGCATCTCATGGGGCCCCCTACTGACCCTGGGCCTTCGGGCAGTGCCTGAGTTTCCAAATGGTCAGTCCGCCCCTGGTAGTTACTTATCCTGGAGTTCAGCTTAACCACTGTCCATTTGGGTAAAATACACACTTACCTTGTTGCTAACAGAAAAGTAACATCATTTAAAATAGTTACACTGTCCACTGCATGAATAAGAAATCTATATTTAATCACAGTTACTGTATGTCAGTGGATGGAACATAAATAATAAACTGAAAAGAAACAACTGTCAGCATTCAGCACACAGCCTAAAGACAACATTTTCTTGTGTTGTATTTCACAACAGAGATGACAGCTTGAAGTGTCACACCTACAGTACACAGTGCTAAATATATAATACATTGCCATTTAGAAAGCCTTGCTTACAAAACCAGCTGCAAGTCATAGAAATTGGCTACAGCAACCAAAATGATAACTAATAAACAGAATACCAATACCCGATTGGTTGGTTTAGATCAGCCATTCTCTACAACACAGGTGTCAAACTGGCGGCCCTCCAGCTGTTGCCAAACTACAAGTCCCATGAGGCACTGCATGATGGACAGTTACAAGCATGACTCCCAAAGATAGAGGCATGATGGGACTTGTAGTTTTGCAACAGCTGGAGAGCCACCAGTTTGACACCCCTTCTCTACAAGGTTCTGTGGAACACTAGGGCGCCTCCAGAGGTTGCTAGGGGTTCCATGAACTGAGGATGATGGACCTCCCATTTGATGGAGCCTGCACAGATCTGGAGCCAACACTACATAGCAGAGTCAGTGGCATGACACCAATGAATTTTTTGTATTTTTGTCCCACAGATCAATAATGAATAGATTTTAGAACAGGTTTCCCAAGGCCTAAAATGATTTCAAGGGTTTCTCAGGGGTAAAAAAGGATGAGCATTGACAGTTTAGGTTGTAAAAATACAAAATACTGAATGTTTGTATTAGCTCTACTAACAGGTGATGGAGCCTTGTTACAAAAAGATTGCTGATTCTTTTGGTCACATTAGTTGTAACCTTGTAACCAGGCTTCTAGTATAGATGGCAATTCCATCTATGGAATGTCTTAAAGGGCCTAATTTACTAAAGAAAATTAACATTCCCTGTTCCATTTCTGCATTACCAAAGCATTAGCTAACAGCATTTTCTATGCAATGCTAGTGGAGACTCGCATAACAAGGATAGGTAGATATTGCTTATTCTTTAACAAATGTGGTCTGCGCTCCAATGTCTAAATGTACGCCAGGTAAATGGTGGTGTTTCTAAAATGAAAGATTTATTCTCTCAAATCATTTTGGGACTATTTACCTATCATGCTTTAGTGAACAAATGTACACTCACCAGCCACTTTATTAGGTACACATGTTTAATTGCTTGGTAACACAAATTGCTATTCAGCCAATCACATGGCAGCAACTCAATGCATTTAGACATCTAGAAATAGTGAAGACAAGTTGCTGAAGTTCAAACCAAGCATTAGAATATGGAAGAAAGGGAATTTAGGTGACTTTGAACATGGTATTGCTGTTGGTGCCAGATGGGCTGGTCTGAGTATTTCAAAAACTGCTGATCTACTGGGATTTTCATGCACAACCATCTCTAGGGTTTACAGAGAATGGCCCAAAAAAGCTAAAATATCCAATAAGCGGCAGTTGTGTGGATGAAAATGCCTTGTTGAGGTCAGAGGAGAATGGGTAAACTGGTTTGAGATGATAGAAAGGCAACAGTAACTCAAATAATCACTCATTACAACCAAGGTATGCAGAATACATGTCAGAATGCACAACATGTAGAACCTTAAGAAAGATGGGCTACAGCCAGGGGTGGACTGACAACTCATGGGGCCCCCGGGCAATAGGAGATCATGGGGCACCGGTGTCTTTGCCCAAACTCAAAAAAGCCTATGAAAAAGGTACCAGGGGCATCTCATGGGGCCTCCTACTGACCCTGGGCCCTCGGGCAGTGCCCGAGTTTCTAAATGGTCAGTCCACTCCTGGCTACAGCAGCAGAAAACCACACCGGATAGCAAGGTGTACCTAATAAAGTGACAGGTGAGTGTATTTTTGAATCTTAACATAAGACTCATTTCACTTAATGTACATATAAGATACAAGGCACAAATACAGAATGTTTTGATGGCAGATGCAATGTATTAAGTGATTATGAGTGTTTGCTTCAGCTGATCAATTAGTGATCAATTTCACAAACTACGCAAAGTTCTGTGTGAATTGGCAAAAAAAACATGCCATTGAACTTCATAGTGATTCTCCCTGCTCTTGGGCATTTTCTTTTACTAAAGCTGTGTATACAAAGATCAAAACTCGGCTGGTTTAGCCTGGACCGGCCAAATTTCAATCTGTATGTAGCCGACCTTGTTAGAGCCAGTTTTCTGTCAACTGGACTGCTGGAAAATCTGCTTCGACTGGTGGCTTGCAGCCAATCTGCTGCAGCACTAACTGGTTTATTCTGACAGCAGGGAGTCCCCTCTGTCAGAATATATGTAATATCCCAGCGGGGGGGATTCCTGCATTAACATTTCTTGTGTGGAAGAAGGAATTTCTCCAGCTGGCTAAGACAAACAAAAAGAAAATGACAGTGTGTATGCAGCATAGGAGAATTATAGCCAAAGTTTTTTTGGCTGTACTTCTCCTATGGATCACAGGAGTGCAGTTGGTTCTGCACTCCTGTGACCCGTGTTTAGCCAATAGCAGGCTAAATTCTGCTGTTGGCTGGTGTCACAGAGTCAGGCCAGGCTCTGAAAAGATCTCAACCATATGGTTGGGATCCACCCAGAAGCCTGGACCGCCACCTGGCTCAGCATCTCATCGGTCCACCGAGAGCCTGAGCCACCACCTCTCACCCCCTCTACAGCCCAGCACTCCAGGGAGTGTTGGTGGGGAAGAGCACGTAGCTGGTGAGTGATATTCACGGCTCTCTGTTTGGAGTTGAAGGGGAGAACTGAGTGATCAGTGGCGTCTGATCATTCAGTTCACACTACAGAGCTGGCGGAGGATTGATGCTGCATCCACGTGAGTACAATTTTTTGTAAAAGTCCAAAATTCTCTTTTAATTCAGGTCCAAAGTGTCACAACTCATTCACATCTGTGTTCGACTAACATGCAGACAATAAAGTTTGTTCCTTTAATCACAATGGTGCAGTGAAACCCTAATGAAGCAGTCATTCTGAACGCTTGTCCTTATCCCCATCAGACAATGAAGCTGATTGACTAAAGGAGTTGAAAATCTTCATTCAATATGTTCAATCACATGAAGAGCCAAATTCCTCTTTATTTCATCACCACATGATTACGTATTCACTGTGAACATAGCTACAATTTAATGATTGAAGATTCTCAATTGAAGCTCACCATTTTTGGGATTTTGAAATAGACAGGTAAATAACACAGGCCAGTACACATTTGGTGCCTTGAATATTAGACCTATTCCTGAGTATATTTGATCTTCTGATTGCAAAAAATGGCACCAATTTTTCCCTATCAGTACTAGTTTTTGAAATACAGCATAAATGCCATATACCATTCTTCACTCTGGTCGCCCGTCAAAAAACAGGATATTTCAATGTAGTATTTTATCCAATTTCCTTGTAGCATGAAAGAAATACATAAAAAATAGTCATAACCTTTGCAGTGCTCAATCTGCGATATGAGTTGCAATATACACACACCTCCTATACCAGTGGTTCTCAACCTGTGGGTCGCGACCCCTTTGGGGGTCGAACGACCCTTTCACAGGGGTCCCCTAAGACCATCAGAAAACACATATTTCCGATGTGTAAAGAGCAGCTACTGTGTAGAAAGCAGCTGCTGTGTTTAAAGGAGCTACTCTGTTAAAAGCAGCTACTGTGTTGAAAGCAGCAGTATTGGAGGTAAAACGACACTCATGAATTATAATTACTGGGTAAATAATTTTATGGTTGGGGGTCACCACAACATGAGGAACTGTATTAAAGGGTCACGGCATTAGGAGGGTTGAGAACCTCTGTCCTATATGATCATATATATATACAGCTAATACAGTTAATAATTTACCCTTTTTACAATGTTTATGATGTAAAATTACAGTTGGAAGTACATAAACACTCTCACTATATCTTCTTGGTAACAGTAGAACAAGTTGATCAGCAAGATCCTTTTGAAGACTGACTAAAACTTATATTAATTTGACCATTTCTAAGAAATTAGAGCTGATGCAGTCTGACCAATGCAATTTTTTGAATCAGCATCCCCAAATAACCCCAACGACAGGTCTAAAAAGCAAGGCATCAAGAATACATTTTTTTTGTTGGGCTGAGTAATCATTGGCTCAGTAATTGCCACCGCTGATCCTGCTGAGCAAAATTCTCAAAACATAACTGGTTTGTCGTGCATACTTGAGAAACTTCACTAAGCCATGTTCACTTTCATTAAATTAGAGGGATGATTTGGAAGGGGCATTTTAACTAGCAATGAGTAGGAACTCCAGTCTTCACATGTACTGCCTCGTTATTTTGGATGGATTTACAATCTGACCTTCTCCTATCCAAAGTGGTTTTGTGATGCCATAATGCCACAGCAGATGGCAGATTTTTTACTCTGATCAGGTCTGCCCTATACAGAGAAAATTTGGGGTAAGACCTATGTCCTTAGCATACTTTCTGACTGCCACATTTGGAAATAGTCAGGGCTTGTCAATATTATATGGGGCAACAGAGAGGTTAAACCATTGAAGATCTGCAAACATGTACTGATGCGTCATGTACTGATGTCACAGAGGTACTCTGTATTGCAAAGTGCAACAGCCAACAATAGGCAAGACACATTGTAGAGTGGTGATAGTCCTTAGATGCATGATTAGGGCAAAGGAAAGAAAGCAGCAGAATCAGCAGAATCTGGTGGCTAGGACAAGTGCATACAAAGAGCCCAGACAGGTAAATGGAGCAATGGTTGACAACAGTAGAGGTAACAATCAACTTATCAGGATAAGCACAGCCAAGCTTAATACTGGGGTTGCCACTTCATCCCTTTAAAATGGAACACATATTATATACACAGGTTCTGGGGCTAAATTTAATACAGATAAGGCACCAAGTGAGTTTAGTTACCACCTTAATCAGCCCCAGAATCTGTGTAATTAATATGTGTTCAGTTTTAAAGGGATGAGTTGGTATCCTGACTTAATACAAATCAGTCCAAAAAATATGCAGGAATAATCCAAGGCATGAACAAGTTAGATAGACATCAGAGACACAAATATGCTTACAAGGCATGAACAAATAGTCAACCCTGTTGATCAGGCCAAGGCTTTAGGTTTTGGTTTCACCTTTAATTCCACAGGTGTGTACAAAAAAGACCTGAGCTGCAGTGCTGACTAATGAGCAGTAGATGGTAAATGTTTGAGGTTGTTTCTTACAATGACTGCATCTCCCATCCCACTTAAATATCCATACACGCCCCAATTCTCGACAGTGAGGGTCTAAAATGATAAACTGCACAATTATTATATGCACCGTAAAGTGAATCTGTACTTTGGTCATGCAGTTACAAGTTAACTTAATAGGTCACCAACCCCCACTTTTTATACTTACCTTACATTTTGAGCCCCTACCACAATACACAACCAACAAAGCAAAAAAAGAGTTCAATGGGGTGAATTTAATAAAGGCAAACTGACTGTGCACTTTGCAAGCACATTTGCACTCATTTTTCCCAGAGCTTAGTAAATGCAGTAAAGCTCTGCTGATTTCCATCATCCAATCATGTGCAAGTAAAAATGCTTTTTTAGATTTTGGTGCACCTGATTTGGTATTCTTTACAAAGTGAAGTTTAACCACATTTACATTTACTAAGGAAAATGAGGACAAATACACTTGAAATGTGCACAGTCTATTTGCCTTTATAAAATGAACCCCAAAGTCAACTCAATTTCAGTTTGGGTGGAGTTTGGGATGACAGCATTTGGGCTTAGTATGAAAGCAAGGTGATAGGGCCACATACTCAAACTACAGTTGGGGTGGCAGGAGAATGACCATTTGGTAAGCATAAGTAGGTGACAGGCTGTAAAATGAACCTTGCATAAAAAAATTACAACATAGTCAAAGAGGATTACTTAGTAGATGTAGGGTTTACTTGATCTTAATGCTTGGAATGAGACATCCTCAATGAATGAATAACTGTAATGTAACCTACTATTCTGAACAGAACAGACTCATTCTCTCCAATTTTGAGATTTCCTTCTTTCTTTTTCCCCTTTGTACCTTACCGTTCATTTCTCTGTCTTCTCCTTCCCTCTGTCCTCATTTTCCATTCTCCATTTCTTGTTCTTTTCCCCTACCTTCATTTCCCTTTTCCTTTTCCTCTTCTTCTCCTCTTCCCTCCCCATCTCTTGTTTTTCCCTTCTCCCTGTTTCCCTCCTATTCTTTTCCCTCCACCCATTTTTATTCTTCCTTTCCCCTCCCCTCCCCCCACCTCTTCAATAATTTTCTTTTCCCCGTACCTCTCTTTATTAACACTATATTTGTCTCATTGTTTTTGATATGTCTTTAATTGCAGCTAGGTTATAATTCATATAATTTATCTTTTGATTTGAATTTGTTTGTAATAAATACTTTTAGAAATTAAGTTGGTTACCTCTCCTTGTTTCCATCAAAATATGATCATATCAGGGGCTCCAAACTTTCTAAGCAAAGGGGCAGTTTATTGTCCTTTGGGCTTTAGGGGGACCAGACTGTGGTCAGTGGGAGTAGAAAATGTCCAATCATTGGTTTTAATAGACGGAATAGTGCCCCATTGTTGATATCAATGAGATGAATAGTGCTCCATTAATGGTGTCAGTAGGAGGAATGGGGCCCCATCATTGGTGTCAGTTGGTGGAATAGTGCTCCAAGGTCCAGATAAGAGCAAGCAAAGGGCAACATCTGGCTCCCGGGCCGCAGTTTGCAAACCATTGATATATAACCTTTAGTAGGAGATATGCTGCTATGAGACATGATGTAATGTGTATGTGTCTGCTGTAAATGTCATTAAATACTGATCCCACTGTTTGTGGGCGTATATATATTTATCCACTCCTGCTCCGCCTCACCACCTACGATTACACCCAGTCTTGTAGGTGAAACGCATTAGTGGAGGAGATCCCAGGCAGGAACTCTTTGTATGTGATCCAGGTGAATAAAGTTACCAGAGTTTGAATTTCCAAGGAAAGCCAACCTTTTTCCCTTGGATTTATTCAATCTATGGGGCATAGGACAAGCCCCTGCTGGTGCTCAGCACTTTGCCTTTTAGGACGGTGACCCAAATGAGGGCTTGGGAGCAGCACACTTCACATTTTTGGGACTTTAAAAGTGCCCAAAAATACTTGACATTAGCTACACCTCTCTCTTCTTAAAAAGTAATTAAGCCGCATGAAGTTTTCTCTCCTCCACAGCGCCAATATCATATCTGTCTGAAATATCTTCAGTTCCAATTGCAGTTTTTCATATTTATCAATATTTCTTACTAAAAGCACTTTAGAATTCTAAACATTCATTCTATATTCCAAATCTTTAAATATGGCTCTTGTCTAGGAAAAATAAGAAATTGTACAGCTCTTTGTATCTTCCTAATGATTCATAAATGCAACAATGACCTGTTTTATTTAAAGCTCACCTACAAAACCCTTGGTCTCATAAACCATATTAAGCCATTCGTCGATTCTCGGCCGCCTCGCTGGCTTGTTGTTGTTGTTATTTCCCCCTTTCATCGCGAAATATGCCGCCTGCATGTTCTCCAGTTCCTCGCATTCTAATTGATGCCATACGACCTTGTCTCTGCACAATGGGAAATGACAAAAGATTAGATCAATGCAGGGAGGCACAGCCACACAATAAGCATATTCTTAATGTACCGTCTCTTTCCAACACATCACAGCACAAGCTTCGCTCCCATGTCATATCGAAGTATACGTTCTACAAATGTTACATTATCATTCTCTAAGGCTGCGATTATTAACATGAGAACATTTTGAACATGGACAAGTTTTTTTTCTGTTTTCACAGTTACAATATTATTGTTTGGGAAGCCACTTATAATAATACAATGTATTTGATAGAATAGAAGCGCTGTGGTTCGATGTGTAGCATATGCATAAATGATTCGTATGAAAAAGAAAGACAATCTTACTCCGTTAAATAGGTGTCATTTAAAGTGCACTTGTCATTATATGGCTGGCAATGAAAAGAGCCAAAGTGAAGTCCAAAGTGCAATAGGTCAAGAAAAACAAGTGAATTTCAGTTAATAATGGTCATAGTTGGCCAAAGACTCTCATTGGCTTCTGTACTTGACAGCATTTTATCTGTTGTACAATGCTTTGGATCTTTTTAAGGAGAATTTTACTGTGTTTACTGAAGACACCACAATGCCAAAATGCTGCAGAAAAGAAGAAAAAAAAAAAACCTGCTGGGAAAAAAGTTTGTAAAAATACTTACCTTCCCATGGCTTCTGTATTGCAGGGCTTGATGTTGCCATCTTTCCAAAGAGATCCAGTGAGATGCTAAGTAGCCCAAATCACCCAAGAAGATGCTGTGCTGGGGCATCATCTCATTCTATTCAGCATTACTCTCCCTGGAAGGATGGTGACATCACCCTCAAATAGATATTGTGTGAGGAACCCAGGGTTGTGAGGAACCCAGGGTTGAGTGCAAATTATGCTGGAATGTCCATCCACATAGACTTCCATTGCAGCAAATAATTCCATTCATAAAATGGCAGGAACAGGGAGTACAGGGCAAAAGGACTGGAAAGATTCAACAGTACTTCTGAGGGGCAGTTTTTGGAGAGCATGCCTCAGAAAAGATAGTCCAGAAGCAAAGGTATGTCATTACACTTAACCCCCCCCCCTTATCTTTTTCAGTGATATTACCTGGAGTGCTCTGGAGCCTTGCGACGTCCCTTAAGCTGGCCATAGATAAAGCGATTTTCTTTCCTGCGACCATGGGTTACAGGAAAGAAATTTGCTCTGTTCCCCCATTAACACAGTCATTGTTGACGGGGGAATCCCTCCCACAGAGCGATTGTGTTCTCCCGGGGGGGGGGGGGTGGCATCCATGCCAGGAGAACACAGTGATTACTGCTAGCGTCTGTAGCCACTGTAATAATAGCATGAAAAATCCGACAGGCTGGTTGTACTCAAATCATACAACAATCAAAGTGGGTACAATCAGCTTGCCCATAGATGGTTCAAATCTCAGCCGGTTCCATCTATGGCTGGTTTTAGTCAAGGCAGCATTCTGACTCGACAAAGGAAGCCTGGGATGCCCTGAAACATTAGCATGAACCACGTGACATAAACCTTTTAAGCCGGCCATAGATGATGCGAGTTGCAGGGAAGAAAATCACTCAATTCCCCCATCAACACAGTCAGTGTTGATAGGGGAATCCCTCCTGTGGAGCTGTTGTCTTCTCCCGCAATGATTATTGCTAGCATCTGTAGCCACTGGCAATAATCACATGAAAAATCTGATAGGCTGGTTGTACCCAAGTAGTACAACAATTGAACTGGGTGCAATCGGCCTGCCTATAGATATTTTGAATCTCGGCTAGTTGAGCAGGAACTGGCTGAGATTTGAACCATGTATGGCCAGCTTTACAATAAATTGTGAATGGGGGACTGGTGACATTTTATATTTCATATAATTTGTGATGACATTGGGAAATGGGCTGCTTATTACATCCTCTTTCATTGCATGGGGAATAGAGGCCTGCAGTGATTGTTTATATTAATTATGCTCACATTACTCATGAATGCAAATTTTGCCTAATAGCACTTACTGTAGAGGTAGGCAACCAGATTTTCTAGGTTCTAATGGCCTCATATGTTGATTCCTTACATGTATAATTTTTTTCTACTTTTACATAACGTGATGTATGAAGAAAAAATCCTGTCCTGGTCCACACAGCCCTTGAGCCATCATTTGAGCTATTATTACCCTATGGGGGATGCTAAACTGACTTTTTAGAACTCTCAGTGGAATGGAGGGATATAATACTCTGATTAAGAAACTAATCAGCTGCAACTTGTTCATCTGAATGCCACATTCTCTAATGGTGTTTTATGAATATTGCTATAACAACATTCATTATGCTGGCTAATGGAAGTAATAAACGGAATATAAAAAAATTCTGTTTAGCGCAAGACTTTCATATTAATTAGAAGCTACCCTAATGAGGACATATCTCAAAAAGTAATGCTGAGCTTGACTTTGTTTTTGTTGATGTCAACTTTTAAGGTCATGTTTTTCATTGTATTAGTATGTATTTTTACTAACGCTGAAATCACACTAGAGCGGAGTATCTTTGGCCCTTTTACAGTTTTTAAGTGTTTATACAGGCGTTTTTGAGCATTTCTGGGTGTTTGAGGTTCGAGTGCTTTTTAATTATTTTAGCCAATGGAAAGCTAGTTACTAGGGAAAAATGCACAATACAAACTTTTCCACACTTTTTGCATGCATTTTTCAGGCTGTCTAATTGAAGTCTACCAGAGACAAAGTTTGAAGCTCAAACTTAAGCTCATGTACTTTTTTGAGCTACAAGCTTCAAGAGAACCAATGAAAAAGCATGGGATTTTGGATGTTGAGCATTTTGAAGCTTTGAAAATGCTAAGGTGTGAATGGGGGCTAAGAACTATTTTGCTTAAATTTGATATCTGCTATATTTTGTATTGATTATCTAGTTGAGGAACTACACTCACTGGCCACTTTATAAGGTACACCTGTTCAATTGCTAGGTAACACAAATTGCTAATTGGCCAATCACATGGTAGCAACTTAATGCATTTAGGCATGTACACATGGTGAAGTTCAAATCGAGCATCAGAATGGGGATTTAAGTGGCTTTGAACATGGCATGGTTGTTGGTGCTAGACTGGCTGGGTATTTTAAAAACTGCTGATCTACTGGGATTTTCACGCACAACCATCTCTAGGGTTTACAGAGAATGGTCCAAAAAAGAGAAAATACCCAGTGAAAGATGCAGTTGTATGGACGAACAAATGCTTTGTTGATGTCAGAGGTCAGAGGAGAATGGGCAGACTGGTTATTGCGACATTCATATGGTAGGGTCACAATTTGGGATAAACAACATGAAAGCATGGATTCATCCTGCCTTGTATCAAGGGTCCTGGCTAATAGTGGTGATGTAATGGTGTGTGGGATATTTTCTTGGCACTAGTTAGGTGTACCTAATAAAGTGGCCAGTGAATGTATTGATACTGCAGCCCAAACATCATTTTTGGCCCTGTGGCACTTATTATGCAAGGCAATGTATTTAGGCACTTCTTTTAACTGAAGGCAGAGACAAAGATGTTGCATCTGTTGGTATCACATGCAGCAGATTTCATGGTATAATAGTGGTTATGTGATCACTGCCAATGTAACCTCCACATTTTGAGAAATATTTCCCAAGTTACAGTGTCTATTTAAATAAACATTGTCAAAAAATGCAAGGCCTATTTATTTGGAAGTCCTTTCACCTTGTGATGAAAACATCAGGCATACAACAAATGAAAGAAATTTAAAAAATACTCACCTTATGACTTCCAACCACTTCCTGTAGGAAACATTAATTTCAATGTGCTTCGCTGTGGGATATTTTGAAAGGGATTTCAGTACTGTTCATGAGCACATATGTTCCAGTATTTGGCATCCTTAGCGTTCCCAGAAGCACATTAAAAGGCTTAGTGACATCACCAACATCATCCTCTCCAAGGCAATCCCAACAGAATTTGGGGTGTAAAGTGAGTATTTCTGGACAATAAGTGAGGTATGATGGTCCACATGGGGCCATGTCTTCCTGAAAAAGGTTTTAAATCCTCCTCACTTTAGTAGACAAATATTAAAAAGCAAGCAAATTGAGTGCTACTAAATAACAATGATAAGGAAATGCACCTAAAGAAAGGAAGTCCAAGGACCTAATTCAGGTCTCTAAATGTTCACTAGGAGGCAGCTTGTGATAAGAGCAGGAGGTAACTCTGTGGATAGATCAGGGAAAGGAGAAAACAAGCGCCATCTAGGTGTAGTATTAAATTAACCATTTAATGAACAAAAGGCAATTGCATTCACAAAGGAGGAATGGGTCAAGGCATGTATGGAATAAGGAGTGGTCGTCAGTGTCAGTCCTGGACCGCAATGGATGGAGGCTGTGAACCGGCTTGTAGGATGTTCTGGTGGCTCAGCAGGGCTTCCTGGTTGGCGTTGAACACAGCACGATGGGCGGAAGTGACATCAACAACCGGAACAGATGATCAAAGATGGCGACGCGTTGCAGAGCATACGCTCCTTCTTCAGGCCATCAAATCATCCCTTTACTAGACAAACCCTGTGGAAGCTCCAAACCTTTTTTGTCAAAACTTACATAAAGCTACCAACTCCTTCCCCACTCCCATGTGACATTGCAGGGTCAAACACAACCACCAGCTCTGACGCATGGGAGTTTCAAAATGAGTTACATCCTTACGTATACTCAGAAGTGCTGGTTGCTGGGTACTCCACATCACTCTTTGTAGCAATATCCCAGTTATGGATATGGATGTTAGTGCAACGGTACAGGCAGACTGGCAAAAGATTTTTACCAGTCACCCTGAATACAGCACTGGAGTCTGCCACTGCAGGGGAAGGTAAGTAAAGACCTTTGGAGGGGAAGGTAAAGTATGTTTAGGGAGCTAAGGGTCGGGGCTGAACGTTTTGTTGCAAGAAACTTGCACATGCAAGGTGTAGAGCCATAAGATAGCTGCATACTTTACATATGTGTGCACTGGGCAACAACTCAACATAAAAAGTTAGAGTAGACACCACAATGTACAATGGTACCCTGGAGTGTGGCTTTCCCATATATTTGCAAAATGAATGCAAAATAAGACCTCTATTTTTACTGAAATATTAGTATTAATTAGCTTTCTTTCACTGGAAAATTTGTGTATTCTGTGAACTGTCATTCTAAAACCCTTCTTAAACACAGGTTACCTAATTCAATTTCCTCTAAAGTAGGAGATGATAAAATAAATGAAAACTTCTATAGCGTTAATGAAATCAAACAACTGAATAAATCCAGAATTAAACACTGAAATTTTTTTTTTACTTTGAATATGGATGATATTGAGTAAATTTAATTTTCCCCAACATGTTAGCAAACTACTATGTTTTGATGATAATTCCCTGTGTCTTTTCTTCTCCTCTGCTTTGCCTTCTCTTCATTTATTTTTAGTTATACTTTCCACTTAATTAACTATAACACAATTTCAATTTAATCCGAGTGAAAACATAATGTTCCCCAGGCCGATTAAAGTATAGTCTAATCGACGTCTCTTTTCCAGGTGTCAGAACAAATTAATTAGCTGGGGGTGAAGGAATTGTAATTCATATGTACCATTTCTGGTACAGAAAAACAAGAAGCAATATTAAACACCATCGCCCCCTGGATCGTCAGTGGAAATTCTTCTTGCCGGTGTTTGCAAGCAGCGGTGAGTGAGTCTGCCAGGGGGGGGTTTGGTTCATGAACAGTTTCATGAATTTTACTTGAAGTTCAAGAACTTTTCATTGAACCTCAATAAAGTCTATGAAGGAAAAATCTTGTTATTCAACTCTGACTATTGGTGGGGCTAATAAGCAAGCTATTTTTAAGTAAAAGGCATGGGAAGTCAATCACTGCCCATGGGACACAGACACCAATACTGGAACTGAAAATACAATAAGTCCCCTACTTCTGATTGAGTTCCATTCCAGGAGCTGGTTTGCAAGTCCAGCTTATCCGGAAGTCCAACAAAGATCAGCACTCCTAGCCATGAGTTGGGAGTGTCATTGTCAGAACACAAAGGCACGGTGGAGGAGATTGCCACATCAACACTGCTTGTGTTAGTATGACAATCTGTCAGGTTTTTTTGCTCAACCCCCTGGGTTGAACGAAATAAAAACAATGTGTGTACCGGGATTTACATGATTAAACATTCCACCACATATTCACATCTTTGAAAGTTCGTAAGTTGAACGTTCGTATGTAGGGGACATATATATATATATATATATATATATATATATATATATATATATATATACACAGTGCTCAGCATAAATGAGTACACCCCTTTTGAAAAGTAAGATGTTAATCAATATCAAAATGAACACAAGAACAATTTCCAAAATTGTGTCAAAACTGAGTTTTATAGAACATTTGTTTATCTCCTTTCATGAAAGTAAGGTTAGTAATAAAACTTAGATTATAAAATCCTCCTCAAATTGGTTGATGCAAAAATGAATACACCCCACAAAAAAAAAAACAACTACACCTAATATTTTGTATGACCTCCATGATTTGTAAGGACAGCACCAAGTCTTCTAGGCATGGAATGAACAACATATTGCAACATCTGTCTTTTTCCATTCTTCAAGAACGACCTCTTTTAGAACCTGGATTGGGAGTGATGCTCAACTTGTCTCTTCAGAATTCCCCATAGGTGTTCAGTTGGGTTCAGATCAGGTAATATATGTGATCACTGAATCATTTTCACCCTGTTCTTCTTCAGAAATGTAACAGTGGCCTTAGATGTATGTTTTGGATCATTGTCATGTTGGAAAAGTGCACAACGACCAAGGGCACGGAGTGATGGTAGCATCTTCTCTTTCAATATAGAGCAGTATATCTGTGAATTCATGATACCATCAATAAAATGCAGCTCCCCGACACCAGCAGCACTCATGCAGCCCCACAGAAGGACACTGCCACCACCATCTTTCACTGTAGGCACCACAGAGTCCCAGTAGTCTTCTTCTTTTTCAGCATATGCCTTGGCAAATTCTAGGCGGGCTTTTTGTGCATGGGCTTTAGGAGAGAATTCCTTTGTGGATGACACCCATGCATGCCATTCCTCTACAGTGTACGCTGTATTGTATCACAGGAAACAATCACCCAGTTTGGCTTTCTACTTCTTTAGCTAACTGCAGGGAACTTGTATGGCGATTTTCTTCAACCCTTCTCATCAGAAGATGCTCCTGTCGAGGTGTTAACTTCCATAGACAGCCTGGACGGCTCTGTGGGATAGTTGTCATTGCATCTTTGTTACAGTTTTGTATCCCTTTTGCTACAGTATGCTGACTGATTAGTAAAGCTTTGCTGATCTTCTTGTAGCCTTCACCTTTCTTGTGTAAAGAAATAATTTTCTTTCTCAGGCCTTGTGATATTTCTCTTCCATGTGGTGCAATTACTGACAGCATGAAATGGGAGGGGTTTCCTTTGTGAAGTAACGCCTTTTATAATCAACTGTCTACTGGACACCTGTTTAATGAATAATTAGACTCACCTGTAGTTGAATTCATGTTAATTAGGATTTTGTTGTCTAAAAGTTAGCTTTGCTCCTAAGACTTTCATTGGGGTGTATTCATTTTTGCAACATGGTCTTGAATTAATTTGTTAGGAAAAATACTTTTTTTGTGTGTGAAAATTAACAAATTATGTTTGCAATCAATGGACCACATTTGTGGTAGTATTTTGTAGTACAGTGCCCCATAGAAAATGTTGATTCTGAAAGGAAAGTAAAGGTTTTCTGACAAATCTGTTGGGCTGTACTCATTTATGGGGAGCACTGTATATAAAGTGTCTCACCCTACACAGAATTACCAATTCTTTCTAACAGTTCCAACACATATTGACAGTATGGCTGCTGTGAGCCCACCCTTTTATAGAAAGGGGGCTGGGTTCACCATTCCTAAACATTTTTGGCTCAGTTGACTAGGAAAAAGACTATGCACACATTATAGGTTGTTCCTTATTTCTAGTGGCAACCTGCAAACTTTTCAGCTCTTTCCTGTGATTACCTTAAAAAAATTAATGCCAGAATACACTACTGACGGTGGAATGCTGTTTGCTTTATATGCATTTCTACTTTTCTAACCCCTTCCTACCTCCTCCCAGTGACCCCCTAGCTGGGTCCTAATGTTGGGAGGCAGGGTGGACTTCCTGATCATGTGACTACTGTAATTGGCAGTCACATGACTGGAAGCCAAAACCCGTGGCTCCTAACAATAAGGCAGAATGGTAGCTGTCTATGCACTACACACTGGTCACTGTGCTTGCAATGTGTGGGGGTGTGCGCTCGCAGCACAGAAACCTTGGCCGCCAAGAGCGATATGTGGGTATTAAGACCCACCCTCCATACCACTGCACAATGCGTTACATGGTCGGCAAGATGTTAAAATGTACACGCTACCAACCTAGAGAATGGAAAGATGGATTTGCATTTCCTAATTATAAAGACCCTGCTGACACCTCTTAAAGTATAAGTAACAACATGTGTAACATGGTCCTAAAGGTGGAGTTAGCCTTTAAGTACTACCCCCAAAAACTTCTGACGAACAAGACCATTGGAAGCAAAAGGGGAAGATCACTGGAATAACTAAGTAAACATGTCACAAATAGAGATGAGCGAATTATTCAAAAATTCGGTTCGGCTGATTCGCCGAATTCGCGGAATAAATTCGCTTCGAGCCGAACATATTCGCTGCGAATTTAACTTATAAAAAGGGTGTTTCTAGGCTTCAGAGAGCCTTTATATTAGTGCAGAACACTGTACCTTTAATTTAAATGCCCTTGGAGTCTGCTGGGGAAGAGAAATAATACTGTCAGTCAGTATGACATGCAGATGAGTGCCGTCGATCTTAGAATCACCGCACACTTCACTCATTTGGGCAGTCACGGGGCCAAAACCAGAGTGTGGAGCCACAGTGTGGCGGTGGAGGCAGCAGCAATGGGAGGCCATACAGCACCCTATGACAAAATGGAACCCACCAGCAGTGTGAGGAGACCTGAAAGTGGCACATGGCAGAGTGTGGCGATGGAGACAGCAGCAATGGGAGGCCGTACAGGGACCCATGACACACTCTGGACCTGGCAGCAGCATGAGGAGGCGGTACAGGGGCCCATGACAGATTAAGGGCCTGGCAGCAGCATGAGGAGTTGGTATGGGGGCCCATGGCAGATTACGGGCCTGGCAGCAGCATGAGGAGGCGGTACAGGGGCCCATGGCAGAGTGGCGGAGCGTAAGCAGCTAAAATTGAAGGCCATACAGAGGCCTATGTTAAAAAGTCCCCCCAGCAGCAGCGTGGGGAGACGACTATCAAGAGTCCAATGGCAGAGTGGCGGAGCGGAAGCAGCTTCAATTGAAGGCCATACACAGGCCTAGGTTAAAAAGTCCCCCAGCAGCAGTGTGGGGAGACGACTATCAAGAGTCCAATGGCTGAGTGGCGATCCGGGAAATCAGCGTTGTGATTGCAGATGCAATGCAGAGATTCTATGAGGTGATGCCGTGGGTGCGAAGAAGATCATATACCGTCGTACTTCCATCCATAAGACGGAACAACCTGCGAACCGGGAGCTTTATTGCCCTGACCCGCTGAGCAGCTTCTGGGATACCCAAGAGGCCCATGGCAGAGTGGCGGAGCGTAAGCAGCTTCAATTAAAGGCCATACAGAGGCCTATGTTAAAAAGTCCCCCCAGCAGCAGCGTGGGGAGACGACTATCAAGAGTCCAATGGCAGAGTGGCGGAGCGGAAGCAGCTTCAATTGAAGGCCATACACAGGCCTAGGTTAAAAAGTCCCCCCAGCAGCAGTGTGGGGAGACGACTATCAAGAGTCCAATGGCTGAGTGGCGATCCGGGAAGTCAGCGTTGTGATTGCAGATGCAATGCAGAAATTTTATGAGGTAATGCCGTGGGTGCGAAGAAGATCATATACCGTTGTACTTCCATCCATAAGACGGAACAACCTGCGAACCGGGAGCTTTATTGCCCTGACCCGCTGAGCAGCTTCTGGGATACCCTTTTGTGGTAGAGACTGGTTTTGTTCAGCCATGCTTGAGCGAGTAATAACAGGTCTGTGCTGCCCTTTGGTGTCTGGCTCAATGCGCACAACACTGAACGTCCCAGCATTTGTCAACGATTTGCCGTTAAGTGATGCAAACCCGCTGAACCACGTTCATGAGGAGCCGGTAGGGTACAGGGGGGGGCCATGAATCAGTATGGACCTGGCAGCAGTGTGAGGAGACCCGAAAGTGGCACATGGCGCAGGGTGGCGGTGGAGGCAGCAGTATTCGGAAGACATACACAGGACTAGTTTAAAAAGCGGAAGCCGTCAGCAGCGTGAGCAGACGACAGAGGCACATGGCGCAGGTGGCGGTGGAGGCAGCAGTATTCGGAAGCCATACACAGGCCTAGGTTTAAAACTGGCTCGTAACCCAGCAGCGTGAGCAGACGACAAAGACGCACACAGGCAGAGGATGGATCTGAGGCAGCAGTAGGGAATGGATCTGTGCGGGCATATGAGAAGTCCATCGTCACAGGCGGTACAGGGGCCGTGGGCACAGTGTGGTGATGGGGGCTACAGCAGGATGGATGCCAGAAAGTGGCGATAGGGGCTATATACTGCATGAGGAATTATAAAGTTGTAAAGACAGCGGCCTATAGGGCTATACACACTATAACAATCATGACTGCAGACTGAGGCTAGCCGCTGCTGGTGGAGCTGCATGCACTTGCTCCTACCACCCCACCCCTCCCCCTGCTGCCATGGCAGCGGAACTGCGCGCTTGTTGGGCACAGGGCCCACAGTGTCTGAGGATGGACGTTGGCGCTGAAAGCAGAGCGACCAACTGACTACATAGGTGGTTTTTATAGTACTTTATTTTGGCTGTCCCTCTCAGCAGCTGTGAAAAAGGCACATTTTTGAACGGGTAGCGAGGGTCCCAACAAGGTGGACAGCCAAAAGTCATCCCGGACGGTGTCTGAGGGGGTTATTATTCGGCTGTCGCTACGCAAGCAAACCGAGCATGCTATGGGGCCATTTGTGCCAAGGAATGCGAGGGACTCTCCCCTGCCTCCAATCTCGGACAGCATACTGCCACAGGTGCGTCTGGGTCCTCTGTCTCCTCCTCCTCCTCTACAGATGCTGGCCTGCTCCTCCACTCCTGTCCGGCTTGAGTGGTATTAAAAACCACCCATTTCACTCAATAAATTCCTGAGCACCAAAGACTCCTCCACCATCATCCTCTTCTTCCTGTCCTGCCCCCAGGGGGTCATGTGGGTTGAAAATCTGTGCGCCACGTTCTTGGCCGCACCCTGACCAGCCATTGTTAAAAGCCATTTTTTTCAGAAAGGTGCGAGTCCAACAGAGGAATGACGTCGTTCATCCCAGGTCAAGTCCTGCCGACTCACGAATAGCGTGGCCTCCTCAAAGGGCCTCTTGAGCAAGCGGCAGGTGTCCCAACGCAGGAGGAGCTGCCAATGGTGACAATCTAAGTTACACAGGGGAGTACCTTTGTCCGCTTGTAACATGCGTGGGAAATACGTTGATGGGCCTTTCGCTGTTCGATAAAGGGCGGTCTAACATATGTAGGGTTGAATTCCACCTTGATGCAACGTCGCAGGATCAGGCGATGCGTGGTATGCTGTGGAATTCCGTTCTGCCGCTGCAGCTCAAATGAAGGGTGTGCTTTGCGGTGTAGGAAAGCTCTGAAATGCATGCAAAGTTTACGTGACACGATTAAACTCTTCTTGCAATAGTGGGATGGTGGATTTTAGGAACGGTCAATATGCGCTTGACAACCAGATTGAACACGTGAGCCATGCATAGCGCACTTGGTCCTCACAACCACTCCTTGACGCAGAGCAGACACCATGTTCTTTCCGTTGTCGGTCAACATGGTTCCGATTTTTCAGTTAGTGCGTTGTGAAGCAGACAGCCATCTGTTATTTCTGTGTCATTACACTCCAGAAGTTCCTCCCCTGTGTGGCTCGTTCGCCAAGGCATACCAGGTGCAGCACAGGAATGCACTAATCATGACACCGTTGCGCCGGCGTGCAAAATGTGATTTGTGCCAGTCGGGTAATGGGAACTTGGCAATAGTGGTTGTGGCGGCTGAGACGAACATCGGAAGAAGAGGTGGTAAGAGGCGGACACTCTTTGCTGGACCAAGGACGTGCGTTGGCTGGAGGCAAAAGCGTCACTGACCTGTCCAAAAAAAGTTGCTGGTGCGGCTGTACCGATTCTCCACCACGTTCACCCGCCGTTAAGTGACATTGTACTGTCCCTGACCGTAGTTATTCAGCTCCAATCACGTCAATTGCGATGCCGTTGCACTTTGGCAGAAGACCGACATGCTCAAGGGACTGGGCCCACCATCTCTTCTACATCTGAATGCAGGGCTGGCACTGCCTTCCCGGCGAAGTAAATGCCGGATTGGCACTGAACTTCCACCGTGGCGCGCGGCACAAGCCATCAGTTTTCTCGGATCAAAGGTGTGAGTTGCACCACTTGGAAAGGGAGGGACTGTAGCACCAGTTCAACTTGGACAGGAGGACGTTCAGCTTCACACCGTCGGGTGCGTGCTCGCAAACTGTTGTCTCTTGGCGTGGGAAATGGATTCCAAGAAAGACTGCTGATGGAATCCGTGAAGCACAGGCAGTAGCAGGAGAAGGAGCATCTGAAACGAGCGGAAGATGCCAACGTAGCGACAACCCCCTCAGCAGAGGTGGATTTGGAGCTCTTTGACTGGCTGTAGAGGGCGAATAGTGGTCGGGTGAACGGAAAGTCAAGTTTAACGGCAAGCGGGTGATCAATTGCAGGGGGCTGGGGCAGGCAGAACCGTACGTATCTTTATCACGGTTTTGCACCCAGGCCAAAAAATGGCGAGCCGCTGCATATGCTGATTTAACTCTGTGAACGTCCCAACATTGAAGCCCCCTGGCCAGTTTATTCTGGCCACAATAGTCGACATACGGCTACGTTTAAACCTCGGGCGGCTTGACGAAAAATTGCCACACCGCCACCGAGTAGGAAACTTTGCCCCCGCTACTCCTCACTGGCTGACTGCTACTTCCCTCCGTGCACACCGGCACCAATGGATTTAACTCTTTGGTGGTAACAATGCAGTGGTTGCTGAAGGTGTCAGTTTACTCCGTTAGCACAGTTTGGCTCCATTGCAGCTTGCCTGCTGGCTGGAAACCACCGACGTTTTGCTCACTGGCAATGCACCCTCTTCTCCTGATGAAAAGCAATAGCCTGATGACGACGAGGCTGCCAAATGCGATCTAGCCTCATCATCACGTACATTAGTGGTCTCCGCGTCACTAGCCCCCTCGGCTTATTTGTGGGTCAGGAGACAGACCTGTCTCTAGAGCTTGCCGGCTACCGAGCCACTCTCACCCTCGCCAAATTACTACTTCGCCTGGTGCTGAAGAGGCAGATGTCTTCTGAACGTAACAATTCCTGACCGCCCTCTGTTAGCTCTTCCTCACTGTACAGTGGGCACTGAGCCCACAGTTATTGCGATACTTCGCTTGGTGATGGGGACGTTTATGTCACAAATGCACAATAATCAGGGTCATATTACCGAGGAATGTGGATTTCAGTACAATGGGCTTGTCCCGGGCATGAAAGTAACGGTATTTACAAGCACAATCGGTACCCACCGATTGCAGCTTGGCCGTTGGTGGAAGAGGTACGTTTAAGAGGAAGACGACTAAGTCACCCAAAATCGATGACGCCACCCGGGTGTAAATGGAGACTAACTCTGGATGACGTACAATAGTGGCCCTCTTGTGCAGAAAGTCAGTTTTGCTTGCCTAGACACAATCTTCAATTGCAGCTTGCCACGTTGCTCGCTCCTGAAACATGTGCCTCCTCTGCCACTCCTCTGCAACTAATTGTCTGACCAAAAAATAAGCACCGCCCCGGCGTGTAAAATGGATTTAACTCTTTGAACGTACAATAGTGGTTGTTGTGAAGCAGAAAGTCAGTTTATTTTAGCACAATCGGTCAATTGCAGCTTGCCGTTGGGCTGTAAACTGTACGTTTATGTCACTGGAATGCACTAATCACCCAAAAAATATTACCGCCACCCGGCGTGTAAAATGGATCTAACTCTTTGAACGTACAATAGTGGTTGTGAAGCAGAAAGTCAGTTTATTTAGCACAATCGGTCAATTGCAGCTTGCCGTTGGCTGGAAACTGTACGTTTATGTCACTGGAATGCACTAATCACCCAAAAAATATTACCGCCAGCCGGCGTGTAAATGGATTTAACTCTTTGAACGTACAATAGTGGTTGTGAAGCAGAAAGTCAGTTTATTTAGCACAATCGGTCAATTGCAGCTTGCCGTTGGCTGGAAACTGTACGTTTATGTCACTGGAATGCACTAATCACCCAAAAAATATTGCCGCCACCCGGCGTGTAAATGGATCTAACTTCTTTGAACGTACAATAGTGGTTGGTGAAGCAGAAAGTCAGTTTATTTAGCACAATCGGTCAATTGCAGCTTGCCGTTGGCTGTAAACTGTACGTTTATGTCACTGGAATGCACTAATCACCAAAAAATATTACCGCCACCCGGCGTGGTAAATGGATCTAACTCTTTGAACGTACAATAGTGGTTGTGAAGCAGAAAGTCAGTTTATTTAGCACAATCGGTGGTGCACGAATACAAAACAATATTCGCGGGCGTGTAAATGGATCTAACTACATTGAACGTAACAATTGCAGCAATCGGTCAATTGCGTTGGCTGGAAACTGTACGTTATGTCACTGGAATGCACTAATCACCCAAAAAATATTACTGCCACCCGGCGTGTAAATGGATCTAACTCTTTGAACGTACAATAGTGGTTGTGAAGCAGAAAGTCAGTTTATTGTACACAATCGGTCAATTGCAGCTTGCCGTTGGCTGGAAACTGTACGTTTCTGTCACTGGAATGCACTAATCACCCAAAAAAATATTACCGCCAGCCGGCGTGTAATGGATTTAACTCTTTGAACGTACAATAGTGGGTTGTTGAAGCAGAAAGTCAGTTTTTATTTAGCAGAATCGGTTCAATTGCAGCTTGCCGTTGGCTGGAAACTGTACGTTTATGTCACTGGAATGCATAATCACCCAAAAAATATTACCGCCACCCGGCGTGTAAATGGATCTAACTCTGTTGAACGTACAATAGTGGTTGTGAAGCAGAAAGTCAGTTTATTTAGCACAATCGGTCAATTGCAGCTTGCCGTTGGCTGGAAACTGTACGTTTATGTCACTGGAATGCACTAATCACCCAAAAAATATTACCGCCACCCGGCGTGTATATGGATCTAACTCTTTGAACGTACA